AGATCGCTTAACTTAATATTCTACAGGATGTTAAGGTTACAGATGAGAGTTCCACTCCTTGAGGTTAATATTATCAGAGCGCATAAGAACTTAATATGTAGTTTAGGTAATACCATGATGGTCATTTTTTTTTTTTTTCTCATTTTGTACTTCCAGGTTTAGATCCCTTTTATATGTTATAATTGAGTTTAGCGTTGTATTGTATTTCTAAAATTCTTGAAAATCCGTTTTCATCTTTATCTTTTGCTTTAATTTGTGATTATATGAATATGAGCTTTGGATTTCTGATTAAAGCTGCACCGATATTCTTGCAGTTTCTGACCAACCTCCACGAGATATTTCTGCTGAAAACAGGTGTCTTTGGTTAATCTGCGGAAAAGTGCTTTTGTTGGGTCATTAGATAGTAGATGACAATGTATGAGGTAGATCCTGATGTTGTAAGATGGGGCCTCCATCTCGTAGATGTCTGCTCTCTTTCAAACAATGGTTCTCCACAAACTCTCACGTGTTATGCGGAGGACTTCTCTTGGACCCAGTCCGTGACTGAAGGTTTTTGTAGCCCAAATGTGGAAAGTGACGAAGTTATTGCCTACACTCTTCAGGAAGAACTATCAAGGGCTTCAGATGGATCTGGATTTACATGTGCTGAAAAACAATATCAAGATGAAAGTATTCTTGCTCAGGACTGGGTTAGACCTTCGGGACTGCACTCAATTTCTGGTACAGCGCAGCTTAGTTTCCTCATTTATTTTCGGCCATCTATGTATATGTATGATAATACATTTGGACTTTTAAGCTTTAAAAAAAAAAAAAAGAGTGCTGGTCCTCTGGTTGTGAAAAAAATATTTTTTGGTGTTATTAGATGGGAGCAATCTACTTGTGAGTATAGGAAACATAATAGGAATTAAAATATTCGGTAAATGTAGAGTGGATGTTTTTATATTTATGATTCCACTTTGGGATTTTCTACAAACAAGTAAGCAGTTGCATGATGTGAAACAAGAAACTCTTTTTTGTCAAACAATAAAAGTTGGAATCTTTAGCTTCTATTTGCTATAGTAGCAACTTCTGGTTTTCTTTTAAAGATCACTCTAAAGCTCATCTCTATAACCAGAAGTTTTGGGAACACTGATTATTTATCATGTTTGCAGAGTTTCAGTCTAGTCAAGAAGAGGAGAAGAGAGAAACTGTTTTAACCGATCTTGAAAGATTATCAGTTGATGGTGATCAGCAAGGTATTTTACCTGAAATAGAAGATGAGACAGATATTGATGGTGAATTGGGCAAAAGGCTGAATCAGATGGTGGCTGTTCCTGTAAGTACTAATTATTTGGTTTTAATTATGTGTATGCTTGTATGTGTGTATAATTTTTTCTCATCGTATATGTAACAGTGGCTCCATATTTACAATACCCTTTCTCTCCTTTTCTCTTATGGAAAATCGTTTTGAACTTCAGTGCACACTTACCACGTGCTTATGATTTTCTATTCATGCGGATGTTGATATAACGATTGTTTCTTGTTGTTGCAGCATGTTCCAAAAACTAATGGAGATTTACCATCAGCAGATGAAGCCACATCAGATCATCAAAGACTTCTGGACCGGTAATTGTTTAAATCTATCTAGTTTTCGTTTGTTTTTGGTAGCTTGTTGTATTGCTACTTAGTGATTGATTTTTCTCATTGGGTGAATCACTATAAAATGTTGGTAAGCAAATGCCTATCCGGTTCATAAAAATTCTTCGAAATTTTGACCAACTTATTTTCATTTATGTAGTAATGCTTGATTTCAACTATCAGTCTTTCTGTTTGGGCATTAAGTGACTTGATTTGACTCTTTCAGCCGATGCATGGTTCTTGAGTAGTTTAACTAACTGATTACCAAGTGCCAAATTTAATTAGGCTCAAGTGACAAGTCCCTTAATAGATTAATGAAAACATGGCTTGATGAAGTCTATTACACAAAGGAGGAATGGGAAAATTCTGTGGGCATACTGTCCAGATGGATCTTTCATTAGTACATCAATAGGTTGTTACTTTAGTTACATGTTTATATCCTGATTACACAGTTAAGAAGCCATTTTATTTTATTTTATTGTCCAATTTACATATGTGTATCAACAAGACATCTGAAAAATTTTTTGTCAATGTATGTTTTCCTTTCGGTCCTTGTATGTAGCCTGTAGGTGGGACATTTTAATTATCCACGTTTTCTTATGCATTTGTTATGCCCTCATTTGAGCATTCCTTCCTACTTTTTTTCAGTGAAGAAGCTAGCTTACTGAGTTTTGTGATTGCTTGATTTTGGTAGTCGATTTTTTACTTCAACCAATACAAACACAAACAACCATGTCAAAAGGACAAACAAGAAGGGAGAAAAAGAGTGGATGGATAAAAGGAATAAAATGATATAAATGACTGTCTCAAGTATAACTAGTCGATTCATGTCTGTTTACTTACCTCTGACATGCGATACTATTTAGTTTCTTGTATTACATATTTTGTTTGACTCTTGTTATCGTTTTGGGTGCATCAGTTTGCAGTTATATGAGCTAACTGAACTCAAGATATTGGGAGATGGTAACTGTCAGGTAGGTCTTATGACATCCTTGTACTATTTATTCGTATATATAAATGTAGTAATCTAGGGGACTAGTACAAATACTTTTTCTTTACATCTTTTGCTGTCAGATTAGTGAAATAATATTTTAACCTAATCTGGTAGTCAGCTAACTCAAAATCAACTTCAGTATAATGCTGGTTCAATTCTCACTGCAAAATTTTGATTATTTTTCTTTAACCTGCCTATTGCATCTAAAATTCCAATATTATTCTTTATATATTCGACATCCAGGCCGTGGCTTATTATGTATTCCCTGTACTTTTATGCAGTTCCGATCCTTATCGGATCAAATATATCGGACTCCAGAGCATCATAAATTCGTAAGAGAGCAAGTAGTCAGCCAGGTTTGCTTGTAATATGTCATGGCATGATATTTTGTCACTTGCAGTTAATCCACTTTCTTTTCTTTTTTTTTTTTATTTGAATGCTTCCATACGTTTTCTGATTCTGCCTTTATATTTATTCCATCCATCAGCTGAAGTCTCAACCTGAATTGTACGACAATTATGTGCCTATGGCTTATAGCGACTACTTGAAGAAAATAAGCAAGTACAGTTCCGTCCAATTCCATTTCTTTCTTAATATATATTTGGAAAAGGTTTACAAAGACTGCACTTGAGGTTTGACTAAGAAACGATTTTATCTTTTAAATTTCACAAATATCCGATTAAAATTTGCATTTTCTCAACTGTATTGCCTTTTGAGGGTGGTACAATTTTGTAAATAGAAACCTTATAGTGGGGATTTTTTTTTTCCCCCAATAAGTAGACTAAACCTCAAGGCTATGTATTTATACCTATACATTCTTGAAATGTGCATATTTAGTATTTTCTTGTCCAACCAGCTTTTATATGCTTACAGAAGTGGGGAATGGGGTGATCATGTGACACTGCAAGCTGCCTCGGATTGCGTATGATTCTTTCTATCATCGTCTCTCTTTGTTGTATTTTGATTTTATAACTTGCGATAACTTTTACCTTATGACCTAATTGGCTCTCTTTTTT